ACTGAATCACATGGGAATGAACTAGGTAGCTTATAATCCTAATAGTAGTTGTTACCCATCATCAAAGCATGAGGAGGAAAAAAAGAAAATAAGAAAACAGGAGAGAAAATAAAGGCTTAGTTCTTTTTTATTTAGCCTCCTGCATGTAGTTCTAGCATTTACATAAGCCTTTGCGCACTTTTTAAGGCTTTTACCTCAGAGAATTAGAAACAGAGTATCTCTATTTTTGTTATTACTTGATTTGTTTTATAGCAAACATTCCAGTTGTTTTCTCTCTGTGCTCATAAACAGCTTCAAATGCTTTCTGTGAAATCTGATAATGCCAATTTAATCAAGATGTCATTAAAACAAAAAAATTCAAGCCTTTATTCATCACTTAAAAGTGATGCTTTCATTTAAAAACAGTGACAATGGGTTTCTGAGTTCAGTCTCCTGCTTATTCCTTAATCTATAAAAGTATTCATACTTTCTTAACTTCAATCCTACAATACATCTGATTGGTTTTTCCTCTCTTTTTACATCATGCAGGTCTCTAAGATAATGGTCTTTCCTTTTTGGCCTGCCTGAAGACAAGTTGACAAATAACATAATCATTCCAGAGCATTCTTTATGTCCTCTGTGTAGTCAGTAATAATAAAGTGATATCTCTACATCAGAACGAGCCTGGTCATTCTTCTGTTCTGGTCTTCTAATTGATTGTCTATCACTGATTTAGGCTTCCCATTACAAGAACCACTCTTCAGTGATGCTAAGTGAAGTATGACCTTGTCAGATCAGCATTTACTATATAAAATACCTAGAATGCCAAGAACTCCAGATCCATTTCAATACCAAGTACAGCAGCTTTTTGGGTATGTATTTATTAGCTTAAATTAATACAATAAATCATACATGCTTTTACTAATGAGATAGAAAGCCAGAAACTAAATATTCACATATAGCTGGTTGACTTCTTGAGTTGTGACTTTAAATAGGAACTCAATGTTCTATGTGAAATAAATATGCAACACATTGTTCGCAAAATCTGTTAGGAGTACAAAATGTTAGCTCTGTTACATCTTGTTCAGCTAAGCAGACATGGCTTATTTTCAAAACTGTTAATAATTATTAAAAACTTCTTGGAATAATAAATACATTACTTATATTACTTCTTAACTGTACACTCAAAACAGCAGAGTCCAGCAGCACCATATAAAGAGAGATATCAAAGAATAAGTAGTAGAGAAACACAGAGTTGTAAAAGGGTTGGTACAATAGCATTTCCAGGTCTTTCCACTAACTTACTTTAGAAGAAACAGTACAGGATAAACAGCAGTTATAATACTATCATGAAGTTTTTTACCCATTGAGTTTCTGAACAGAGAGCACCTGTCTTTGCGTTCACAGACTGAGGGCTGTCTGGCAGCCAGGAAAACTCTGATTCACAAGGAGATAACTGAGTCCTGGTGACAAGAATCAACATATCGTGTTCCAGGGTCACCTGCAACTCCTCTTTCCCTATAAATATATTTTCTATCTTCACCGTTAATTTTTACTAACTCAGCTTTTAGCTTTTCCTCCACTGTACTCTAAAGTGTCTTGCAGAGTTCTCCCTGCTGCCCTTAACACCAGGAAAGCGTATAATTTAACAAACCACATGCCTTCACTTGCCCAGACTGATTATCGTAGGGTCAGTTTACCTTTCCTCATCATGGCTTCTCGAAGCATCTTAGCTGTACGAGTTTGTGGCCACTCTTATTTGCTGTTATGCTCTCCAAGAGGATGAAGCTAGACTTCATCTAACAATGCAGGGAAATGGTATGTATGGGATTTTACACAGAGATGTTGGAGCGTGGTCTTTAGTTTCATGTGTCACCACACACTGAAAACGCAGGTAGCAGAGAACAGTAAGATAAATACTTTTTTTTTTTTTTTTCCTCCCACAACACAGGAAGAAGAAGGTAGATAAACTCAGGAATCAGAAAAAGAAGAAAACATATCCCCCAAGGTCCAGGACACAGGTAGTGTCTCCACTGGACTTCTGAGCCTCTATACAAGGCAAAATAAGGAAGCTAATCCCTTGAAAAATAGAAATGGGAAATAGCTTCATTATGAGAGCAAATTTCTATAAAGCATTTTCAAAGCTATTAAAAAGCAAAGGCTGTTACTGTCTGTTCCTAAAGTGGTGCCAATGTAAATAGCATGAAAATAACTTATGTTTGAAAAGCAAGGTGCTTCACAATGAAGGCTGTTATTTCACTTTTAATTTGTCCCTTGAGACCTCTTTGTAACAAGTGTCTTAGACCCATTTGTATTATGTTCTACAGCAGAGAGGACTGACATCTCCTAATCACTTTTCTTGGGTCACTTGGCACTGTCTCCTTATCTCTATAGTTTTGTTTGCAACTCCTCTTATTGGTAACTTACAATTTTAGATGAGTTCTTTACTATTCTAGCATGAATTACATTTGGGTGTTTATGAATTAGCTTAGTGTGACTTTGTGACTGGGCAGAATCTCAAGGTCTCACTGTAATGGAATATTCTCTGCTTTCTAGGAAAAATGTGAGAAAAGGGATTCCCATTAGAAATTATTTGCAAATAGTATGTGATTGTCAGGTGTTTTTGCTCCAGTGAGAAGTGCTTCTGTAGAAGAGGGTAAATTGACTGCAGGGACAGTATGGTTGAAAGAATTCAGGTTAACCATTTAGACAATCCAGAGTGGTTTGCAATGATTTCCTTTCCCAAGGACACAACTGGCACACTCTCTTACAAGATCTACAAGGGAACTCTGGACTTAATGCTTCCAGTAGACATAATTCTTGTTGTTACAGAATCACAGCATCACAGAAGCGTTTATGTTGGAAAATATCTCAGATTATTGAGTCCAACCTTTGACTGAAAACCATGAGGTCAACTAGACTGTAGCACTATGCGCCACACAGTCATTTCTTGAACGTTTCTTGAACACCTCCAGGAATGGTGCCTGGCTCATTGCCCTTCTCTGGACTTGTTCCAGCACCTCAATGTCTTTCTTTGAGTGAGGTGCCGAAAACTGAACATAGGATTAGAGATAGAGCCTCACCAGTGTTGAGGACAGATGAACAATCACTGCCCTCATCCTGCTGGCCACCCTGTTGCTGATATAGACCACGATGCCACTGACCTTCTTGGCCACCTAGGCACACTGCTGGCTCACATTCAGCCTCTGTCAACCAGCACCCCTTGGTCCTTTTCTACCAGGCAGATTTCCAGTCTCTCTGTTGCCAGCCTGTAATGTTGCCTGTGGTTGTTGTGACCCAAGCGCAGGGCTCAGCACTTGGTCTTTTTGAACCTCATTCTGCTAGCCTTGTCCCATTGATCCTACCCATCCAGATCACGCTGCAGATCCTTCCTACTATCCAGCACACCAACACTCCCACACAACTTAGTGTTATGTGCAAACATGCTGAGGGTGCACTTGAACCCCTCAACCAGATCATCAATAAGATATTAAACAGGGCTGCCGTCAGTACTCTGGGGAGTACTGCATTCCACTGGCTGCCAGCTAGATGTAACTCCATTCACCACCACTCTCTGGGCCTGGCTGTGCAACCAGTTTTTAACCTAGCAAAGAGTGCACCTATCCAAGCTGTGGGCTGCCAGCTTCTCCAGGAGATCACCATGGGAGTCAGTATCAAAGGCTTTGGTAAAGTCCAGGTAAATAACATCCTGTGATGGGAGCTGAACTCTGCTGGAAATTTCTCCTTTGCTCCATTTGCCTGAACTGCTGTTGATATGTAATGATTTGTTTCTTTCTTTCTTGGTAAAGGTTGTTTAGCTGTCCCATAGCACTCTCCAATGAATAGACAACAAGGCTTTGCAATGGAAGAACTGAGTGCCATCCTGCTTTACCCACCACAGAAGTGAAGAACTTGTTAAATTCAACCCATCTGCATGATTACCAGTCTAGAAATTGCAGATTTCTGATTCCTTGTTTGTTCTTCGTATCATGAGAGCTAATATGGCAGCAAAAGTGGAGTGGACTGGTCTGGAATCATGCATAGCCAGAAACTACACCACCGAGACAGAGACAATTCTAAGACACAGTGACTCACAACCCTTGGCTGTATACACTCTCAAATGGGAGCTTTCGTCTGGCAGAGACAAGATAGTGCCAAGAAGGCAACTGAAGGAGTTGTTCCCATTTCTAAGGGACCATCTCCTAGACTATGATGAATTTTTACCTGATCATTTCCCCTACAGTCTAAGAAAGAATGCAGTTACACTCCTTATTCTGAATTTCTTCTAATTCTTCTGCTGACCACAATGTCTTCCTTGAAAGAAGGATGGCTCCTTTTTCAAGAAGTGTCATTGTACAGTTGAGGCAAGGAAGAGCATATATGGTAAAACAGTTAATTCCTGAAAAAACATGGCTATGTATCTCTGAAGTTCACTTAGTTTCCAAAGTCTTCTTTAATTCTAGGTTTAAACTGACCTACATTCCACATCGGTTTGGCATACCCTTTATATTTTTAAAAGGTATGCACATTTTAGAAGAGTCACTTGTATGTTACAGTTTCTTTTATCAGCAGCTTTTTCTGATCTTCATTTGGAATATTTATTATGCCATGTTTGAGTCTTGGAAAATGAAACCACCTTCTCCAGCCTTGGACTACACAAATCCAATTTTATTCAAGGAATAAAGACTTCTGCACTGTTTTAGTTTGAAAAGTGTGTGTTTTCTTATAGTGGCAGAGAGCTGCAGCTACTTGACTATAGTCTTAGCAAACCACGTATATATGACTGTATTTAATTATAACTTGCTATGTATTGAACATGATAGCAATGTATTTCAAATCAAGAACTTAGCAGGTAAGTGAAGAAGGCAGTAATATTTGGAAGAGAAGTACCATACATATGTGTATATATGTATATACACATACATATTTTTATGAGTATATACATATATACATATATATATATGGATTTTAACTTTTTAAGCTGGGATGTGGGCAGGACATGAGTAACATATTATGACTTATTAAATTTTTATTTAGCAGGGTGCAAAGCTGTTTGTTGTCTATGTTGAAGACGCAGAAATTATTATGCTGGCCAAACTATTCATGCAAATAATGAAAAGTTGAATGGAATATGCTTTAAGCATCTTTATCATGAACATGTAATTGTATGGAATCAGAGGATGAAAAGCTGGGTATGACTTGGTAAAAACAGAGTAAGTGAATTCTTCTGAAAGGACTAGAGCCTCCTCAAGACACGTTGATAAGGGAAAATTTCTGCCTTCAGTAAGAGGAAATTGAAAACCAGTTTGTGAGGTACTGCTTGTCCTATAAGGGTTATTTCTATCTTCTAAAATAAAAATTGATCAGACCTGTGTATTTCAAAATCATCCTTACTAGTCCTAAAAAAAAGGAAGAGATAAATGGCAAAACTGCATAGTTTTTTCAGTGCAATTACTCATATTTCTTAATGTGTAACTATAGACAGGTTGTGAATGCTACATGCTGCTGCTGCCCATTAGATGTATTGGTCTGAGCAGGCAGCAGAATGAAATGTCAACACAGTCTATGCTATTTCACTTACTGCCATACTGACTGAAACAAAGCATGAACATTCCTTGTGCCAGAGGAAGAGCTTTTGTAATAAATTCCAGTCCTTTCAAAGCCTTACAGAATTGCCCTTCACTGCCTCCCAAGACATTAGTATTTCTTCTTAATTTATTTCCCAGTTCTCACTGTAAGTGGTTGAATTAAGAGTCACTTCAGTAAATCAAAGTATTTGGGCTGTGTTAGTTCTGAATGTTGACAGCATTTTCATGCTTGTCATGTTTAATAGTACTCTGGCTTATAATGTGAAATATTTTCAAATGTTTTTGAGACATATGGCTAGAAGTGTTCATATATATCTAGTCAGACAATAAATCAGATGCTAAAGCATGTTGCTTTCTGCTAACTAGAAAATTACATGTAAGTATCTATCCCCATATAACAGAAATTAAACTTCTGTACCTAACCCATTGTCTGCTTTTACATCAAATGGATAAACATAAAAGTGTTATTGTTCAATATCTATTGCATTTCTCATTGACTTTTAATGTACATGTTTTATCCTAAATTATTTTTATTGATTTGCCTTGTATATTTCTAAAAACTATTACAGACTTCCAGGTCTTGGTAAGTTACAGTTCATGTTAAAAGCTCTTTGGTTCGCATTTTCCAGCTGTTTCAAAGTTTCCATTTTACATGCCTATAAGCACTGTTTGTTTTTCCATTTTTCTTTCCAGCAATTCTTTCAAACTCTTGCTCCTGTGCTTGAAATACAAGTAATCAGAGAGAGAGTGGCCAAGTCTGGCCTTTTCAAAGGATCTAAAGCTGAGACACTCTTTGTTGTTTGCAAGCTCTCCCTCTCCTTGGCTCTCCTCTTTGTCTGAATTTCCTATTCTCTTCCCCGGTCCTCCCTCACTTAGCACTTCTTCCTTCTCATTGCAGTAGGACTCTCTGAAGTCCTTCATCATGCTCTCAGGTTTGCCAGAGAGATCTTGAGCCATATACAGCTTGTTGTCATCATGATGATACATGACAGGGCTGTACCGCTCTGCCTCACAGCAGTTGTCTTCCTCTTCTTCCTGGCATGAGCTTCCCTTGGCACTCTCACCATCAGAATGAAATGAAATTCCCTTCCCTTGGCTTTTCTGGGAAAGATCAAAGGGCTCTTCCTGTTCCAGACTTCTCAACACATTTGTTTGGGACAGAGCAATTCTTCCTCTTCCAAAACCTTGCAGTGGTTTGAGGGGAGGAGAAAAGGAAAAATTTATATATGGGAAATTTTACTACTTGATACATGGCTAAAAAACAGATTCTGAGGTGACCTTATAGTTCATACTTTACCTTTGTCTTCCATCCAGCTACCTCCAAGTATCTCATGGCATCTCCTTTGAGATGCTGAAAAAAAAGAGTGCTATTCTATGCACTTCACAGACAGGTCAGGACACACAAAACATTGTGTTATACATGCCAGACTCTAGATGAGGCAGCTAGGAAAAAAGTGAAGTGGTCTGGCCTTTTGTAAGCTATTTTTTGCAAGTGAACCTACCCACTTCCTCCTTCCTATTCTTTTTTAAGTGAAAACTTTGATCTAAAGCATTACAGTCCATAATCCAAGTTCAGGTTTTATATATTATTTTTCCACAGGAATGAAAGATATTAAAATCGTGTTAATGTAGTTGTTCTACGAACACTCCAGTTCAAAGTTAATACTTTAAGAATGAAAAGACAGTAAATTCTCAGCAGTCTGTGACTTCCACTCTCCTTAATTTTTCCTTTCATCCACTGAGAAACCAATCAACTGAAAAGCTCTATGCATTAGATAGTGCTTCAGCTTGAGGAAATCATTGTAGTGTAAATCTGCATATAGTCCTGGATCGGATTTGCCTTAATATTTGTCAGTGTATTTCCTCCTACTGGAAATACAGATGTTACCCAGGAGGCAACTGTGGACTCTAATACACTGCAGGCATCAGGAGGCACTGAACAAGACTGGGATACTGTAGGCATAGACCATTTTCATTAAAGACTGGTGACAGTACTGGGGCGAGGATGTCACCAAATAGTAAATATATACAAAAGCCAGTACTTTACTTGTTTTTGTTCTCTTTGGTTTGTTTTTTCCCCTCAGTAATTGAATCCAATTTCTGAAGAATCTATGCAGTCTCACAAGATAACAGATGCTACTTTGCCAAAGGTTGTATTTGTTAAAGTGATTCATAAGCAGGAGGCAGGCCTTACAAATTATCTTGTCTGATACACCTCAAGGGATGCAGAATCCCCGCACAATGAAAAGCTCTTAGGCAATCTCCAGTTCCAAGTAATTGTCTAACTAGCATGGTGCTTGTAGGAGATTTACAGAAAAAAACACTTATTTCATTACCTATTAGGATGTTTGTAAATTTTATGCCAAATGTCATTAGATTAAGTGTTTTACATATGTGCTGGGCTTCCCTAATGTTTGAATTTGAGGAACACCCAGAAATCTTCCCCATTAAAGAATTATTTATCTGCAAAATCTTACAAAAATTATCTTGGAAAATCAAACTTTCAAAACAATCCTTCTTAATTCCTCCACTTCTTTAGTTAGCATTGACATGTGTGCATACATGAGGATGACTTTTGGAATGGTGCATGGTAGGTGGCAGACAGAAAATGCTTTGGAGGATACCCTGGGTAGTCAAAAATCCTTGTAGATGGGGGAGTAGTATCTCCTGTTTATGTCCTCCTTTGTAAATTGGGTTTTGAGTCTGTGGCCTTCACCTGACATCAGCTATGCCAATACAGTACAGAAGAACCAAGGCTCTTGGATGTAGAGACATTCAGGCTTCCACCTGCATTCCAGACTGGAATCTAAGATGCAGCAAGCAAGACCCATAAATGCTCTAGATTTTGTGCTTCTGCCAATTTAAGAATAATTTATGATTTATTGGGGATCTCTGATCTGTAAGTCTATAGTAATATAGTATATATATAATTTAACTTCCCAGGCTTATGGGATTCTATTACTGGCAATGGCAATGGATCCATGGTATGGCTTCATGGATCTATAGTACAAAGCCCATTTGGGTTCACTGATATGCATCTTCAGATCTCACAGAAAATAACCCTGCTGAAAAATGTTACCTTGAGAATGAAATCCTCTTTCCATGACCCCATGTTTGACTTTCATGTGCCGGGTTAGGTTCCCCTTCAAGGTGAATTTACTGGGACAGTAGAGGCACTTGAAAGGTTTACTATCTGAATGCAAATGCATGTGTCCCATTAAATTGTGCATTCTGTTAAATTCCTTTCCACAGAGCTGTAAAAACAGTAAAAAAGAAAATTATTAGTTTGAATTAGTATTTACAAGGAGAGCTTTTTAAAAGGAAATAGGACACTTCTCTACTTGAGCCTTTGCAGCTTCTGGCTGCAATGTGTTTTTCAAAGTTCCAGGCAATAATCCTACAGACAAGAATGTGTTTAAGTATCTAAGACCCTCTGCACTGCTGGCTTTCTTTTAATTTGGTGACCAAGACACACAGTTAAGGATTCCCCAAAACCAAGCAATGTTATTGTAAGGAAGGGAGAGACCTAAGTGAGTAATCTGGTAGGCTCTTAACTTGGATGACATTCAAAGTATAACTTTCTGCCCTGGCAAAGCATTTCATTTGTAGTTTATAAATCTAACCTTTAATCAAGAACAATGCCAGGCAGAGATGGAGATACAAAATAAAACCACTTAAGGTTTTCTGTGGCACTGTCAAACAGAATATTATTTCTCCTTAAGTGGAAATTAAACAGATGCTCATTTTGCTTAAAGCTTTAAAAAGCAAATCCTTATTTTAGTTTGTTTCTTGCTCACCTTTTTTCTCTGATCTCTTTATCTTTTTTTTTATCAACTTCTGTGTTTTGGTGTCTCTGGTGAGTAAGCTGGAATTTAAATAGTCATGAGGCTGCAAGAATGACTCAGCTTTCCCTGAAGCATGTTCCTGCCAGCTCAAGCCATTGATCCTGCAGTTTTTCCTTTGATGGAACAGTAAGGGTCGGGGTTTTTTCATTGTTGTTGTTTATTTAGATGATTCCTTTTGTAGTCTGGGCTCTTATAAAACAAATATATTCTCAAGACATGAGAGTTTGACATCACTATTAGAAGGGTCTAGTCTTACTTGTCTTCTGGTCTTTCCTTATCAGGATTTATACTTTTATTCACATTCAAGTGGCTATTTCCATCCTCTGCAAATTTCCGTGTTTGCTTTCTACTTCAGCTCCATTTTTTTTTTCCTGACTGGTTCTACCATCAGATTTTAATTTTTTAAAATGTCTTTATTTCTATATGAGCCAGAATCTATTTCTGAATAACTGAAACTTCCACCTAGCAGGGTCATCATCTGGCAGACAATTATTAAAAAGAAATTACTAAGATGCCACCACATTATTTGTATAATCTGAATTCTGATTTTATTTATTTAGATATTATAGAACATCTGATACTATACTTGTAGATTCAAATTCAGAAAGTCATCAGCTGGAACATCTGGATGAAATGTAGATAGTGGAATGATCGTTGGTGAAACAGTACTATGTGCTTTGCTTTTTACACTGTCTCTTGAAGGAAAATTGAATCAGTTCATTTATACAAAAACTTTGCATGCATACTGTTTTACAATAAAAAGTAGAGCTGACTCAGTGCTGCAAAAAGAAAGATTCTGGAAATATTCACTTGTTAGTAAAAAAATTATTTGCTTCAGCTGCATACATTTTCTTCTGTGCTTTTCTCTCTGTGATTTTCCTAAAATGAACATACTAGCAAATAAATTTGTTAACAAAGTGTTCTCCAGGATAGTAGGAGGGGAAAAAAAGCCACTGAAAATGAATCTTTAATTTTTAAAATTAAAATATCTGGTTCCAAGGGTCACCCATCCACTTAGGAAAGAGTACTATCTCTTCTTTGCATTCAAAAAAAGATAATAGGTAGGATTGCTTATATTCAGAAAAATGAATGCACCAAAGAAACACTCTGAAAGTGCTGGGAAGAAACAAACAGGAAAAGTACTGATGAGCCTAGAAAATCTGCAAGGAATAACAGCAGCTGATTGTATCCTGACAGCTGTTAGAACAACCTATAATATGTCAATATTACTCCTGCCACAAGAAGGCCAATAGTAATAGCTTTCTAATACCTCTTAGCTGAAGGCTTCTTGTTATCTGCTTATATTGTGGCTGACCTATATTGTCACCAGCTCTTGCTTTCCTGTAGCTAGGTCTGTATTTCTTTATCTAAACTGGTGGACAAGGAAAATCCAGTTGAATAGGTGAGTGGCTAGAGTACTTCATGCAAATCCATATCTTTATGATAAGTTCTTGAGTATTAAAGCTCAACTAATAGGATTTATTTTCTTCTGCCAAGGTAATATTTATTTGTCTTTCTTTGTAATGAAAAAGGACTTCATAAAGGATACTTCTTTACAGTACAGAATTCTTTGTCTCTGAATAAAGTTGACAGGTTTTCCATTTCCCAAAGTAAGGCATACCTTAGGAATGTGTAATGTGTTCTTGTCATGAAATCTGCTCTGGATACATGAGGAAATGGCACTAGAAGGGGGAGGTGTGGCAAGAAAATGAAAGAATTGCAGATATTAAAATTGTGTTTCAGAATGATGCTTCTGTGTGTCATGGTCTTTGTTTAACTGGTCCTTTTCAAAAGGTGCAAGACACTTTTTGGATGACTGATACGGAGCGTAAAGGAAGCAGTTTTTTAGTCACGTACTGGGAGATTGCAACTCAAAGCTAGTTGGGGTACACAGCTAATGCTTAATGAACAGCCTGAGACTGCAGATCAAACTAGAAGGTTGTACAAAATTTTCTTTCTCTGTGGCATGACAGGGTTGTGAGCACTGGTGATCAGAGTGAGAAAGATGACAGTTGCATGGGACAGAGCTCTAGCAGAACTCACTACAGAGCACCATAGTGCTCAGGGAGATGCTATGGTTTTATGCAAGAAAACTTGGGATGTCAGGAATTTGGGGACTTTTTGTTCAGCTGTCTACTTTAGACAAAATAAAATTAAAGCCTTGAAGAAACAACTGCAAGTCTGCTGAACACACTTTGTTGCACTGGCCGATGAAATGGACTTCAGTATAGTATGTAGAAGAAGCCTGCATTAGTTCAACTGTAGATTTTGTCTTTCTAAGATATCACATGAAGTATCACACCTCTAGATCTGTCAGCCTGTTTTGTTTCTTCTCAAAGTACTTGTCTGTCACATTTTCTTTGGTTTTGAACTCCTGATTAAAACACACAATTTTAGATGGGAAAAAAGTGGAGTTCAAAATATCCACTGCAAAGAGTATTTGCCTGGGCTGGAAAAAAATTCATTGCATTCTTTGTTGGAGGTCTGAAACACTGATTACTCCAGCACTAAAAAGAACAGTAAATTTTCTGGAACCTTCCTCTACAAGTCAGAATTAGCACTGTTGCACCAGTTGGTGTAACACCTTTATAACTCTTCAGTCTTTTTTGTTTTAAAACAGAAATAAACACAGCAACGTGGGCTCAGGACTTAAAATGCTACAGAGAAGTTCACTCTTCAAAGGGAAATCAAACACAGATACAGGCTGCAGCTGAATGAGGAAACCGAAGGGACAACTATTTGCTACTCCCTCACTTCTGATAGTTTGTGCTTAGCTGTGATTAGACTCATAGGAAAGCTCATGTTTTCTTTCGCTGTGAGAAAAAGGTAAAGAAAATTACTGCATGTGGTGAAGTAGAAAGGCTGCTGCTGTGCTCTCTTTCCTTTGCATTCTTCTTCTTTTTTTTTTTTTTCTTCATAAGAAGGGTGTTCCTTTCCTCAAAGAGAGAGGGAGAGAGAGAATGACTGTAAACTGTCCAAAAGGACCGTGAGAAAACAGGAAGCTTTGAAAAGAACAAGAGAAAGCAAGATGAAATCTATTTGCAGGCGGTTCCCCGGGGACATGTGAGCCATTGTTATGCAGGCTGTTCATACAGCTATATCCTTCCTTCTGCTGAGGAGGAGCTTGGTGCCAAAAGGCCGCTATCTGGTCACTGCCTTAACCCTCCAAGTACCAACCAGAAATATTTGCTTTCAAGGGTGTTTTGAGGGCTCTGTCAGAGAGGCAATGTTTGGATGTTCCTAATGCCAAAGAGCAATTGCTGATTGTCTTTGCTTTTTGCTGCAATCTCCTGCTGCAATCAACTCTCAGGGGCACTGATGTTGATTCATACCCCTTCAGCCAGAGGAGAAAGAGGTTCACTATGCTTACTTGTTTCTTTCCTCCTAGGAACACTGGGTGGGGACAGAAAAGTGAAAAAATAAGAAAAACAGGTGTTCCTGCAGAGCTTTTGTTACTGGCTGGAAAACATTCTAGTGATACTCCATTTCCCAGTTCCAGTTATTGCCATCTCTAAGTTTTAATAGTCTACTGTCATCAAACACTAAGCTGAACACAACCTTCCAGCTAATCTGCACATACCCAAAAAATAGTGTTGGTCCACATACTGCACCCACCACAGTTTATCAAACAATTGAGTTTCTTTTCTGAAATTTGAGGAGTCAGAAGAGGACTTTGACCACATGGGAACAGGAACACAGGTTTCCCGATGTTCTCAAAGAACAAAACTCTCCAGCAGACTTGACATGAAACTCCCCAAGCATTTCAGTAAAAAATTTCTTTTACCAATATGGAACAATGTAAGCCTGAGTATATAAAATAGTCATAAATTAGAAAAAACCCAAAACACTAAACTTAGAAAACTTCGCTGCTATTTTTTCAAAATAAAATTACAGAGTAAAATGATGAAGTCAGAGATATTTGTTTTTACATTTTCTTATTAAAATTAGCACTGAATGTTATGTATTCCTATGACATTTTGAAGTTCTAAATTTTTGAAAGTGAAATCATACCATTTAAAATTTTTCATACATCTCTGTTTCTTGATGAAATTTTCCTTTTAAGAAAATATTCAATTCCATAAAGATGTAGGATGAAAGAGTTTTAGAAATTGCTTTCAGATCAATCTTATGCATAAAATGGGTAATATGTTCAGCTCTGTATTTACTATTTATTAGAGCAAATTAAATTTGGAATAAAATCCACAACCTTTAACTTCACAAGATATGGCTACAGTAAGGAATCATATAGGCAGAAAAAAAGGAATTAAGTAGTGTTCAATACTGAGTAAGAATATAAACATGAATCATTCATAAAGAACATATTAAACAGGGTCAAGAAAGTTTTAGATTTTCATGGGGAGGGAGGAGAAGAGACATGGAAAGGGAATGCCAGCCTCCAATGTACTACATAGAAGCAGCAAACTGGAATTTGCAAAGAATCATAGAAAAGCCAGATAGTCTCAGATGTTGTTCTGCTAGCATACTGATGTGTCTGATAACTACATTTGGCCCATTCAAATCCCTTCTATAGATGTAATTTGCTGTGGTGTTTTTTGACTAGTTTCTTGAACTGTTGCATAGCCTCACTGTGTGAAGTCATGGCTGCTGCTTTTCTATGATCCTCTACAGGCTGCATGACTTGAATTATGGTTTTAGTCAGTATTTCAAGCTATTAAGGACTTAGACTTCTGTTTGGATGGTTGTACAAAGAAAATGTCAGATATTGGCTTGTCCTCAAACCTCTATGGCACTTAAATGCTCACAAAGAAAAACAAAACCTAAACTATGTGAGGATGAAAGTTACTGATGTTGAAGAGGAAGGGAGTAAACCACAGGTATTTAGCTCTATTATTTTGTACTACATAAGAAAAACCTGGATAAAGAAAGAAAATCAGGATGCTTTATGCTGATTTAAATGCAGTATGTGTTAACAACTTCTGTTTTTCTAATTCTGTGATATCACAAGATGATAATATCAGAGAAATATACAGTGGATTAACACCTCTGTCACCAAATACACTTACCTTGCATTTAAAGGGTTTGACATCAGAGTGAACAATCATGTGGGCCTTGAGAGTCTGCTTTTGCACAAAGCTCTTGAAGCACAAATGACATTGGTAGGCTCTGATATTGGTGTGGATCAGGACATGTCGTTTCATGTTGGCCAGCAGAGTAAATTCCCGGCCACAAATTCCACATTTGTGCTCTTTCACGCCCTACAAGGAAACAAAAACTCTAGATGGAAAGTTTCCTGGATCATTTAATCATCACTACAGCAATGTATGAATTGTTCATTCTGCATTAGGAAAGTAAATAATTAATTATTTCAATTTTAACATTTATTCAAGTAATAGGTACCAATGTAATTTTTCCTGAGAAATTCTTACAAGGTTCTGAGAAGCAGAGAAGTAAACAAAAATATGAGCTTAATGAAATAATGGTTTACAAATTGATGAGATAGTCCATGTCAGTGCTTTTCGGTCTTACTCTGCTACTTAAGTAAAGTATTGGTCAAATATGTATATTTATTGACCAAGAATAAAAGCTAACCAGTCATAAGACTAAAGTAGTACCTGCCTTTGATAATTTGATTACCAGCATTGGATTATGAAAAAGACATAACCCTGTTCTGCAGAAAGCTATAGGAAATAGTCTGAAGTAACTGAGAAGTTGTCAAGCAATGGCACCAAATAAGATTATACATTTTACATTCATAGAAGAGGAGAAAACATGTTTATTCTTAGTGGGATTTGCAGTAACTCTAATGGAATGATCTCCTTTTATCTGAGGTTTATAGAGCATTTTTATTACCCTTTATACCATACACTCAATTTTCTAATGCATGATTCAGTCTTTTTATACCCATGTGATCTAACTGTCAGCTTCTCAAAAAGTGATTCAGATATTATGAAAATCAAAGAATTTGCCACCAAACATCTTAATAGTTTGAGTATGACTTACTGAAGGTAATGAGGATTTACTAGTGAGGTGCTGAGAGCAATTAATCCTCCTGCAAGGTCTATTTACAAAGACATGAAGCCACTGTCAGTGTTTTTCATAGTTAATTTAAAAGCTAAAACTGTGAACATCACCAGCAGTTTTGTGTGTCTCCTTATCTGATGTGAGGCTTGGTTTCATGAGCCAAGTATTGTAAAGTGTGTTCACAACACAGAATCCACCTGCAGCTGTGGACAAAGAAGCAGAAGCTCTGTAAAGGCTCAGGGGCATTTCATTTCCTGTGACTAAAGTCTTCAACTAGTAGAATTTTGCATGGTAAATCCAAAGACCAGAGAATCTCCAAGAAAAGCAGAAACCCTAATCATTAAGGAGGAAAGCAAATGTTATACTAGAGGTTGTTAGTTTTTAAAAGAAAACATGTCCCTAAAACTAAAATGCTGTAGCTTTCTGTATTTTTTTATGTTTTTCATATAAAAGCCAAAATTCAAGAATTAAAGGAAAAATATTCAAATCTGGGAGCAATTTTTTTTAAAAGTGAGAGGATTTGACTTGTCTTAACAATAGTTTTATAAAGGTGGATAGTCAATTTCCAAGCTTCTTGAACAGAACAATTACATTTTCCCTATTTCTGAAAGCAATCTTTCTGAAAGTGTTCCAAAGTTTACTACTACTCTAAACTAACTCTGTTGTCACTATTGTCAGCAGTGGCAAGACCACCACTTGATAAGAATTGTCTGCAATTATGGTCCTGCTTGTCCATTTCTATTAACTGGAATTCTGGATAACATATGCACAAAGGGGAATTTTTTCTTAGGATTTTTGGGTTTAAATTCTCCCATTATAATAGTTCTTCAAAATCTGATGAGTAGTAATATACTTTATTTTCCTGCAGTTTACTGCAAGCTCACCTAGTTCCCGATTAAGAGAACAAAGCAGCAGAACTGGGTTTCAGTAAAAAATTTCTTTTAAATTTTTGGGTGCAGGGAGGGTGGTGGTTACTATACAGATCTGCAAAATTATGTTATGTTACAGAAAAGTCATTCCAAAGATAGAAGCCAGAAACAGAGAGATGTGAATACAGTTTTGGAAAGTAATACAGGTGGTTTAATTGAACTCCTGTTTATAAGGAAGTCAGTTTGTGCGTACTTTCTTAAGACTGACAGAGACATCTGGATTGTAGTACTGCCAACAGTGCTGGGGTTTCTGCTCTGTGTCAGTATGGCAAAAGCTGGCAAAAGGCCACATGAGGCTGTATGGTCTCTCCTCTTTCCAAAGAGGTAGATACTTTAGTAGCCTGTAATAGTCCTGCTACCCTTAAATGCAAGATGAGAGTGCAACCCGTGCTTACCTTGTGAGTTAGGGAGTGTTGTTTCAGGTGGTGGGGCTGCACGAACTCCATGCCACACTCCGTGCAGATGTATGGGCGGATGTCTTTGTGCTTCATCATGTGGTTTTGCAGCTGACTTGGGTACTGGAAGGTTTTATCACACTCAGTGCAATTGTACTGTATAGGGCCACGGTGGGTGGTTAAGTGTCTCTTCAGCTGGGCCAGAGTTGGAAAGTCCAGACCACATTCCACACAAATGTTCTCGCGGCCACTCTCGTGCTTAGACTCATGTGCTTTCAGCTCACTGGGGTAGGCAAAACCTCTGCCACAGATCCTACAGTTGTAAGGCTTGATGTCACTGTGTTGCATCATGTGTCTCTTAAGGTGACTGGTTTGAGTGAAAGCCTTGTGGCACACCTGGCACTTATGTGGCCGAGTGCCCTGGTGTGTCAACATATGTGTGTGCAAGTGGCTCAGCTGCTTGAAAAGCTTGCCACATCGGGTGCAAGCATGTGGCTTAATGCCACTGTGCCCCAAGATGTGGGTGACCAAATTGTATTTGGATGTATAGGACTTCTCACACATGGGACATTGCCAGCGTTTCTGTTCGCCCCCCACATTGACATAGTAACTGTCATCTATCTGAAGGTTGACATCTACTCTTTCAACTTTCTGTTTGTTTTCACCACTTTCTCTTACTTCAGCCCTCCTGAAGGATGGTTCTGGAGGTCTTTTCATTTGAAAGGGATTCCTGAAATGAAAGTTTGGTGGTACAATGAAAGGAAACATTAAGCCAGGGTGGACTTTAGGATAGTAAGTGTAAGGAGCCTGCATGAATGCTGGGCTACTGGGCCATGCCATGTTGGGCTTCACTGGTTCTTGCTTAATGGGCTTGGCTCCAAAATGCTCCAGAGTTCGGTAGAATTGAAAACCAAAGTTGCAGAGGTCAATCATCTGGGAGCTGTACTTGGGCTGTGCTGGCTGTTCGAACACCAAGGGGAGACTGGAAGGGCCTATGTTATTGTGATCTTCAGATCTGTCTAGTGGTGATGAGGAATCCTCAAGGGTGATGGAAGGCAGCATTTTTGTTGGCATACTCTTGCGTTTCCGAGACCCTCCTTCCAAGGAGCCCTGGAAAGATTCCATGTTTTCAAGAGGAGGAGGACCATAGCGGAAATGTGAAAGGTGTGTTCTGAATTCTTCATCAAATGGAGTTGTTCTGTGTGGCTTTGTAACGCGGCTGAGTGGCTGCAGGCAGCGGGAGAAGGGAGAGGCTTGGGCATTGTCCACATTAAAACTCGATTCTTCGTTCTTCATCATACTAGATTTTTTTCTTTGTGGCCCAAATTCCTTAAAATAAGCAAAAAACCCAAATCCCTTTATTTCTTTCTGTTCTTCTGGGTTTAACATTTTATTGACTATTTTATTTTTTTGAAAGTTTGAGGGTTTTTTAAATTAAAAACAAACAGGAATGTCTTCAACCTATCTAAGACAAAGGGTTTTTGAAGAAGAACTAAGTTGCCTAGTGAAGAACAAAAAGGCTTTGGTCTTCTTGCAGCAGATTTAGTTGTTTAAATCAAGTCTGACCCACACAACATCCTCACAACAGAAATATTCTGTACCATGACAACTACTTCACAGATGAATCTGTATGGCAGTATTTCTGCTTAATTTAATTCAGTCAGGCTGTTTGTGGGCAAAATTCTGTTCTTGGCTGTGCAAGCACAGGCTCTAGAAATTGGCGGTGCATCTAAAGGATATGGCAATACAAACAGCAATGTGGACATTTATTATGGTTGTGACATGAAAGGCCAAAGCCAAAAAATATTAAACTTCTTTGTATCATTAACATGTGCTACTGTAAGAGAAAACAATGGCCAAGTGATCTAAGGACACTGTGTACCATTAGATTTTGCACTGTGTTTCCTGACTTCTCTCACTTTGTATTGTAATAAGAAGGCGGAGATTAATTTATTTTCTTTGTTTTAATCCCAGAGATATTTACCTGGCAGATTTAGGGGAGGAAAGACATTTGACAACTCTCCAAATTACATTCACATTAATAGGGGTTTTTTGTTTCTAAACAGGTGGGCAAAATCTCCACTATAAAACCAAATATAGAATTAATATCAACAAAGGTAGATTAATAATTTTCTTCTGCCAAAATTTTAGGTTCCACTGATCATTCAGATGTCTTCTTCTGGATCTGGGGTTCATCTAAAACACTGGTTGTAAATTTTGGTTCATCTTAAATAAGGATGCTACCTTTTCCCTTGGCTTTCTAGAATCACTGCATCATGGAATCCTTTATGTTAGAAAAGACCTTTAAAATCATCAGGTCCAACCATTAACCCATCCCTGCCAAGTCCACCACTAAAGCATGTCCCTAAGCACCAATATCTACATCTTTTAAATATCTCCAGGGATGGTAACTCAGTCATTTCCTTGGGCAGCCTGATCTGGTCCATGACCGCTTTATACATGAAGAGGTTTTTTCCTAATATCCAATCTAAACCTCTCCTGGACCAACTTGAGGTCATTTTCTTTTGTCCTAAGGCTTGTTACTTGGGAGAAGAGGCCAAGCCACACTTCACTAACTCATTTCAGGTAGTTGTAGAAAGTGATAAAGTTTTTCCTGAGCCTCCTTCTCTCCAGGCTAAAAAAACCAAAAAAAAAAAAAAAAAAAAAAAAAAAAGAGGCACTCCTCCTCAGACTTGTGCTCCAGACTCACCACCATTTTACTCCTGTGGACAAGCTCCAGCTCCAGAAGGTGCTTCTTTCAGTGAGTGGCCAAAATTGAACAGGATTTGAGGTGGGGCCTCACCAGTGCCAAGGAGAACCACTGCCCTGGTCCTTCTGGCCATACTATTGCTGATATAAACCAGGATGCCACTGGCCTTCTTGGCCACCTGGGCACACTGCTGGATCATGTTCAGCCACTGTTGATGAGCACCCCTAGATCCTTTCTTGCTAGATGTCTTTCCGGCCACTGTGTCCCCAGCCTGTAGAGCTGCCTGGGGTTGTTGTGACCCAAGCGCAGGACCCAGCACTTGGTCTTCTTGAAGTTCACCCCATCGGCCTCAGCCCATCAATCCAACCTGTCCAGATTTCTCTACAGATCCCTCCTACTCTCCAGCAAACCAACACTCCCACACAACTTAGCAAATGTACTGAGGGTGCACTCAAACCCCTCATTCAGTAAAGATAGTAAACAGGACTCGACAAAGCACTGAGCCCTGGTAAACACCACTGTTGACCAGCTGCCAGCTGGATGTAACTGCATCCAACGCCATTCTCTGGGCCTGGACATCCTGACTGTTTTTTAACCCAGGAAACTGTCCACCTGTCCAAGCCATGAGAAGCTAACTTCTCCAGGAGAATACTGTGCAAAATTGCATCAAAAGCTTTCCTAAGTTCAGGAAGACAGCATCCACAGCTTTTCCCTCATCCACTAGTAGGGTCATCTGGTCGTAGAAGGAGATCATGCTGGTCATGCGGCACCTACCTTCCCTAAACCCATGGGCCACATCCCCTAGTTGCCCTGTACATGTTGTGTTACGGTGCTCAGGATGATCTGCTCTGAAACTCTCCTTCTAGCCTTTCTTGTAGATGAAAGTCATATTTGCTGACCTCCAGCCAACTGGGACCTCCCCAAATAGCCAGAAGTGCCAGTAAATGATGAAAAATGGCTCGGTGAGCTTTTTCACCAGGTCCCTCAGGACCCGGGGCAGATCCCATCTGGTCCCATAGACTTGTAGAGGTCTAAGTGGTGTAGCAGGTTGCTGACAATTTCCCCTTGGATTATGGAGACTTCATTCTGCACCCTGTCCCTGTCTTCCAGCTCAGTGTCCTGGGTTCTTTAGGAACAACTGGTCTGACTATTAAAGACTGAAGCAAAGTACCTCAGCCTTTTCTTCACCCTTTGGTGCTATCTTTCACCCCATATCTATTAAGAATGAAGACTTTCTTCAGCCCACTTTTTTGGTATAAGTGTATTTACAGAAATATTTTTAATTGTCTCTTGTAGCAGTAGCCAGATTAAGTTCTAACTGGGCTTTGGCCCTTCCAGTTTTCTCCCTGCATAACCTCATGACATCCTTGTAGCCCTCCTGAGGGATGCACTCACATGAATGTGTGTTTGTGTATACGTATCTAGCCAACCAGGTAGAGATTAGGCTGGAAAACTAGACACATTTTCCCTTTACCCCTGTGAAATGTTGATGCTATTTATAAGATCATTCTTGGAAATACTAGGTGGAGAGTAAGAAGGTGAATGGAGTGCTAAATACACTCCTATTTCTTTTTAAGGAAGCTCCATGCTTGATAAACCTTCTTATAAAGATGGATAAAAGCAGATCTCTGTGACCTAGTTAGGCCATGGGGAAGAGAAGACATTTTAAAAAACTTCCTGCAAACACATTGTTTCTTTAGAAGGCATAGACTGTGGAATTATCTTTGAGATAAAGTGTGAAGCTCAGTGACAAAACCTTACAACAGAAAATTTAGACAAAAGGATCAAACAATGGACAAAGAAGGGGTATTAATTGAAGCAAAAATTGAAGGATCTCTAAATTTGCGATTCAAAAATACATTGGATAGAGGAAAAAGTTTAAAAAATTTTTACATCTTGGACAAGTATCTAATAATTATACCATAACTTGACTTTCAGTTTTTAGCTCACTGACTTGAAATAGCATGCATATATGTACACAATATAGAATAATAGAATCATAAAGAATCCTATTTGGAAGGGCGCCACAAGGATTGAGTCCAATTCCTGGCCCTGCACAGGGCACCCTGAGAATCACATGATGTGCCTGAAAGTATTGTTCGAACACTCCTTGAACACGCTTGGTGCTGTGACCACTTCCATGGAGAGCCTGTTTCAGTGCCCAGCTATCCTATGGGGAAGAACCTTTTTCTAATATCCAACCTAAAACTCCCCTGACAAAACTTCATGCCAATCCCTCGGGTCCTGTCACTGGTCACCACAGAGCAGAGATCAGTGCCTGCCCCTCCTCTTCCCCTCACTAGGAAGCTGTGGACTGCAATGAGGTCTCCCTTCAGTCTTCTCATCTTCAGGCTAAACAAACCACGTGACCTCAGCCACTCTTCATCAGGCTTCCCCTCAAGACCCTTCACCATCTTTATAGACCTCTCTTGTGCACTCTTTATTAGCTTTGTATCATTCTTCTATTGTGGCACCCAAACCTGCACACCTATGTTTGTGTGTATGCATACATATGGAATATATATGTGTGCATGTTCAGTCGGAGAGGACTTTGATTGAGTGTTCATTCTACTATGTTTCCTTGTCACCCTAACTCCCTGATAAAAATAAGGAACACTTAGATCTTGAAAACTTTAGGAGAAAGGAGAAAGACAAGGGAATTCCCCAAATATTGAAAAATTCTTCACTTCTTTCCAAAAGAAAAAAAAACCACAAACTTTAAAAACCATTTTTAACAAAGTAAAACACCATTTGAACACAAAATACGCTTGTAAACCCAAAATCTTCCCTTCCTGGGTCTGTCCCTCAAATATCTTTCAACTTGTGTGTCTGATTTTTTCTCAGCAATATGGGTATATTATTCTTCAGAATCAACTGAGAACCAGCTATGTTACTTAATATTTTTGTTGGATTATTGAAATGCTGCCAAAAATACACTGAGATGACAGTGAGTTGTGCCTAATTGCTCTCTTGTCTGCCTATTACTCCCTTCTTCCACAACCAGTTTTGTGCAAAGTTCCATTCTTTCTGGAATGCACAGTTATGGCAGAGGCTGTAGAACTCCTTGAAATGACTAAAAAGAAATAATTTCCTTGCACTACTAACCTTTGAGTGCTTTCACTGAGCATAGGGGTTAATTCCACTGTCCACAGCTACATGCACCACAGGACCAAGCCTGCAAGGGAAAGTGTTTAAATAGTCAGTGACCAGCACAATCAGAGAGGTGCTATATAATCCAACACAAGAGCACTGAAAAGGAAAGGGGAAGTCTATATATATGGATCACCGTATTGCTTTGTTTTCCCCCTTTAATCTGCCAACACGTATAATGTACAAATTAATTCTTTCTTCTTTCATTCTGCCGGCAAAACCTTGCTAATTTGAAGGGAGGTGTGATCTTAACCTTGTCCAGAACTGAATTCCATAAAAACATGAGTTCTGATGAAACCATAGAAGAGATGACAGATGTGATCACGATGCAAGAAGCAGTTAAGGAACAGAAAGACTGAGATTAGCTCAACTGGTTAGAGCATAGAGCTAAAGACAGCAAGGTTTTGAGTTTAAGCTCTTTATGGGCCGTTCACTTTAGACTCAACATTCCTTGTGGGTACCTTTCAACTCAGAATATTCTCTGAAATGAGAGGAGAGTCTTTAAATTACTTCAGTGGAGAACTTCAAAGTTTTTAATAGTTTCCCAATACTTTTTTTTCTATCTAACTGTGCAGTAGCTGCTCTCATTTTAATACTCTACAACAAATTGGCATGAGGGGATGAATTTCTTTTTTTGTTAATATTATTTTGGTATTTCTTTTTATTTAAATATTTTAATATTTAAATACCACCTAGGGGCCTACTATAAAGTGCTTGTTTCTTATACAAGCACTTTAAAACATCTTTCTTTCTATAGAACTTCATATTTAAAATGTAGTGCTATGTAGAGTGATTCTAAACATTGGATGGTCATTAAAAATTCTAGCTTTCATCAGTAATATTTCAGCTCCTAGGTTTTGAAAATTTGGTCTGGAAAACTCATTGAGACACAGATTTCCATGCTGTATAATCACTTAAATATAACACTCCCCCAAAAAAACCTAGCTCTCCAGAGCTTATTAAAAAGTCAATGTCTTTAGAAGAGACAGACATTCTCACACTTTCTTTATGTGAAAAAGTATATTTGGAAATACACTATTTTGAAAAATAGAACCACAAATTAGCTCTTCCTGTCCTTTCAAAACAACAAAAGGAATGTGACAGTGAGTTCAGAAAGTTGTTGAGGTATTTCCAAAATAGAATACCTATGCAGCAGCTAATAATGTTGTTGACTTCCATCAAAGAGGAAGAGAGTTTAATAAAGAATATGAATCACCATTTACTTTCTCACGTTCACTCATTTCTACAGACAAAGAATTTTAAAAAGTATGGAAATGCTGCTAATTACTCTACAAGGATTGTTACAGTGTCCAGCTAATACTCTGTAGTGGAGTCAACAGTAAATTTTCTTTGGACTTCAGTAGAACCAAGATTCTGCTTCCTGTATGAAAATGCCTTCTGTCTGTAGATTAATAATATGTCCAGACACAAAAATGTGAGGTTGTGAAGTTTCTTGAAGTTAAACACTGCCTACTACTGTTGTGATCTTGCTCTTGGGCAACATAATTATAAAACCAGGAGGGAGGCCAAGATGAGCAAAAGTGGTATGTACCCTCTGACAAAAGGAAACGGGTTACTTTGTCAGGAGGTTCATTCTTGTATTTGTTCTTTCAGAAGAAGGTGAAACATGAAAGTGGAGGAAGTCTAAAGGTGGCTGAATAGGTTAAAAGCTTCTCCTAACTGGAAGAAAGGTTCCAAGTTTAATTGAATGTGTAGGACTACAGAACCATGCCCCTTAACAGCGCATGTTTACTCTCCTCTTGAGGCCTCAAATACTGGTATCTATAAGGAAAGAATGAAAATTACAGCTGTTAGTGTTGGATGTGGGAAGGATTAGTGACAAATTTAACATTATTACATTTCTTGAGCTAAAGTTGAGCAGTTTGTGAGCTTCAGCATTATTGAACCACCGTCTGGGGCTTTTTCAATCACTGGTTTTTTTCAGCTGTTATTATGGTAATAATTATCATTATCTTAATATGTTTAATGGGCTCTCAGTCTGTACTTCCAAATATGTTATGTTTTTAGATGTATTCAGTCATACAGCTGTTGAACTAAGCACCAAATTATTTATATAGTTTTCTCTCATTTGCTATTCATGCAAAACTTGCATCTGTCTCAGGATCTGACAAAGAAACTTTACTACAATGAATTCATTTAATGTCAGTAGTGAAAAAGTCTTCCCTAACAAAGCACACGCTGCTTTGAGTTATCTGTCAGACTTTGAAATGCCAAAAATACATATATAAATGTGAATATATCCATTACTGATAACCATTTTCACTTAGTACACATCTGATCCCTACTTACAATTTTCCTTTCCTTCAGTGGCAGCATGAACCCTTCTAGGTGGAAGGTAAAAGATCATGTTCAAACCCATACCAGAACTTCTCTAAAATCAGTGTCAACCCTACTGTCCTATTCTTTAGAGAAGTCTGTGCAAGCTGTATTTTCTATCCATGTTCTCTACACATAAATATCCACATTTCAAGCACACAGTTTTTGAAAAATTGACTCTATTAACGTATACTGAGTGTATGTTAATATATTCAGTCTGAGTATATAAACTGTGTGCATGTTATATATAAACTAAATATATGTTAACATACACAAATCAGCCTTGAAGTTTTTATGCTACAGTCTTTGAAGCTAACCTAAAATATTATTTATATTTTAAATTAAGATAGTGCTTTGTTTGCCTCAGTCTGGAGATGAGAGAAAACAAAACTTTGGACTACCTGGTAAAAATAAATATGGATGTAGGGAAAGTATCCAGAACCAGTGAGTGCACAGACTGATTACAGAGAGACACAAATGTTGTAGAAGCCTTTAGCAAAACAAGCCTGAGCTGGAAATAAGAGTCATTGAGTTTAGTCAAATCTTTTTTGATAACACTTCTACAAAGTTTTCTCATTTTCGCATGCAAGTAGGCCTGGTGTCAAATGAAGTCCATGATTTAACCATTAGCTTAATTGTCTACTGACATCAGGCTTCTTGCCCCTTGCTTTTTGTAAGACATATGTCTGCTTAAATGGAGAACACTATCAAGATAAAAATACTGTCATATATATCCCTCTTCCCTTTTTGGATTACCATCACTAATAGAATTGGAATTGAAAACAAGTAAACAATTGTTCATGAAAATGACTTGGAATGACTGAAATGAGAAGTGGCCCAGATCAGGGTTTTTTTTCCTACATTAGTTTGATAGTACTAAGGAGCTTGCTGTCTTTTCACTTCTCCCTGGGAAGTTACCTTCGTCTACTGGTATCAGGCTTCAAGCTAAAACTTCTTTCCACCAAGAAATGTGGGGGGTTTTCTTCTCAGTAAATGCTTAGTAAAGTGATCACCTTTATAATTCTTCTTAGGACATAATCAGAGCTCATTAAGGTTTATGGGAAGACTACCAATGAAGTCTGAAAGTAATTCTTAGAATTTTTTTTGTTATGGGTTCTATTGTCCAATGAGATATGAACCATCTATGCCACAGTCAAATGAAAGAAATACTTATATCCTCAGAAGGTAAAAGATGGTAATATTTGTAGACAAACAATGTAAATCATGCAATTACACAACAAGGAGACTTAGATTAAAAAAATCTGACATCTTAACATGACACAGCAAACACATGAAACAAGCAATGAACTTTCAAAGATACCTTATTTATTAAATAATTTTTTTCCTTAATTTACTATTTTGGCAACTTTCTTGCTCCATGATTGAAGTTCTAACATTTTAGATATTCCTTCTGCTCCAAGGGCTTTCTATCCACTGTAGTTGCATTAATATAATCTGAGAGATGACACCAATACAAAGAAATGTGTCTTCTCTCAGAAAACTGTGCAATAGAAATAGCCTCCCTGCACTGTCTTTGTTATTCCCAAATTTTAACATTTTACTTGCACAATTTTTGTTTTATTTTAGCTGGGAAATACAGGAGTTTAGTAAGCATACTCATTTGTCTGCACTGCCTTGTAAAGTAGCTTTTGAAATCATCTTGGATATGCATGTAACTTGGTTTTGTACTCATTTTGGAGAAAAAAACACTATGAGCATTATCATTGAGTACAGTTACCTTGGTATTCATTGTAATAAAGCAAATACTTTAAAATAATATCAAAATGAATGTACATTCACTTTCCCATAACCTACACGTCATTTTTGTTCTGGTAATTATTGAAAGCGTTAAATTAGATTTTGAGATTTCCTCTGCTGGAAGTCTAGAGCAGTCCCACTATCCACACTGCCAGAGATGGGGCACTGTTGTAGCTCAAATATGTTTATAGAGTGATTTATGGCATAATTTTCTTTTCAATGGTTTCATTAATTGGATATAAAAAAAAAAAAATTCAGATGCCATAGGGAGGTAGCTGCAGATGTATTTCATCTCTCCACAACAATGTGCTATGCTGTCTGTTTAGCAAAATGGTTTGCTATCCTCTCAACTGCTTTTATGTGTGCTCTGTCCCTACTTAAGGGAAACCTTTTGCAGTCATTCTCACTACTGCTCCATTTTCTAACAGTACAGAAGATAAAGGTCTCAGAGCAGAATGGCTGGGCTAACCACTGACCATCTGCTCCAGGGCCTTGCTAGCAATGCCCTTAGCAGTACTTGAGCCTCATGGACCTCTCTAATCATTTCTGGGTATGTACAAAGTGGGTTTTGAGTACAGTTTAGGCTCACTGCTGTTTCGGTTCTTTATTTCTCTTCTTCTTATCTTCCTTTCTCTTTTTTTTTTTCTTTTTTTTTCTTCCTCTGTATGAGTTTTCTTAGTTCTTCTCTTATATGTCCTTCCCTCTTCACTTCTGTATTCCTTCTGTTGTTCACTCTGCTCTGTTTGCTAAAAGGTCAGCAACACATAGACAACCTGCATAATGAAGTGGGTGTTAAGTTCACAGGCTCTGAAGTGCTAGCTCTTTACACAAAGTCACCCCAAACCCCAGCAACACACTGTGGGAGACTACAAGGCAGAGCAAGTCTGAAAGTGTCTAAAAATGTGATGAGGGACAAAGCACCTCCATCTACTTGATGTGCTGGTACCAACATGGAATTCAAGGCTTCTTTGGAGTGGGGAGGAAGCAGGAGGGGGAATAACTGTTCACTGGCAGGTCTCTCCCTCTGGGTTCCCAAGACAGCCATGCCCCATCTCTGCCCACAACAGAGTGGGCTCTGGCCCCAACTCTCGTCTTTGTTCCTCCACAGAAACCTGTCAAGTGTAGCCTGAAATGGAGCAGCTGGTAAGGCACAGGCTGATGTAAAACCATACATCCCAGCTCAAGTTAGCAGTGTAGCTAACTCAAAATCCTAATCTTGTGAAGAATGCAAGGGATAGGACATAGTACCATGTCAACTTTCCAACATGGTCTTCAGGCAGGTTCTCAGGTCTGCGGCTCAGAGCTTTCCTGAACCAAAGATGTTGCATTCTGATTTTTTCTTATTCAGTGAACAATGGACGTGGATAAAAGTTATTTAAGATAAAAGCACAAAGAACTATTTCTTGCGAGCCAAGGGACATAGAGAGTTAGGTACTGTGTCCTGGGGAAGTGACATGCTTCTCAGTGGTTTGATGGAAAGCCTTGTACCTCCAGAGATTTGGAGAGGAGCCCGGGCACTGACAGCTGCACTATGCAAGAGATGATATGCCCACATAAACTCTTCTTGATCTACCTTTCCCTGAAGCACTTCTATTTTTTTTATCGTAAAATCCACTGAAGCCTGTGTATACTGTTGATTATTTCACTTACGCCTCACTTTCCATTTCCCTACCAATTCTCTGAACAGCAGATCCTCTCATGCTTCCATTTGACTCATCTTTAGAAACCATTATTATGTACTGTAAAGATGGATCATTTTTGCTGGTAATGGTTGGACTGCATAGTCTCTATTAGTTAGGGTTCTTAAATGTATGATTGCTCTCCTTTTTCTTTGTTTTTCCCCTAGCCCCCCAAAAAGCAGGAGAGCAAAATACATTCATATTCTGACTAGAAATCTGGAGGATATGCAAGGGTGAACTACTGCCTCAAGCAGACTAACTAGTGTCTGAAGGTGCTCTTATGTTCATATAAAGAAAAAGTTGTATTAGGCTAATTACTCCAGACTAATTACACCTATTTTGAAAATAAAACAGAAAAGAAAGGCTGAGTGCCAAGAGCTGTCATCCAGGAAATGCATGCAGGTCTGAGTTTAGAATGAGGATGTGCCTAAAGAAATCTCACTAAACCATACTGGATCCTCAGTCCCTTCTTCTGGAGTTTTAGCACTGCAGAGAAGGGGTTACAATGCAGGATGAACTGGAAGAAGCCTGACACCACAGCCAAGCTAAAAATGCAATCACTCAGGATGGTGAAGTGTCTTAAACTTTCAATAAACCTGAAGAAGTGACACACCTGGGAGCAGAACAGACCTATCTCTAAAGGCATGGAGTTTGCAGCGCTCAAAAACCACATTTGACCTCTCTCTGCTCCCCATCCTTGGCACTTGCACTTTTGTCTGTCTAAAGTCTGTCTCCAGCCAAAGAAGACCAGGGTCACCCCCACAGGCTTTAGACAGGGGACACCCTTAAGAGAATAGAAATGTGTGTCCAAACTCCTCAGGAAGGAGGAGGGAAATTAATCTAAGTCTCCCAGCTTGTGGTTGTTATATTTTGCCCTGAATTTGATGTCATCAGTGTATATTGAGTTACATATAAGTATTGTTACAGGACTGGGTCCCCAAGAGCATTTGGGCAATGGTATACTGAGTTTGAGGTGACCAAAGTTCAGGGCTGACAAGATCAACCTGGCCATGATGGTGACATTTGGAGCACATGTAGTAGAAGAGTTCCAAATGTACAGTTTAACTGGTGCCAGAGACAGGGTGAAAAATGCAATTTGATCCTGCTATCACTAGGAATTGGAATTAATGGTGAATTGGCCAGCTCAGTTAATTATTCAATTAAACAATTCATCATAAGCAACTAACTTAATTCTCTCTCTGTTGTCATCTCTGTTGTATTGAAATAATCATGGAAAATCTGTGGTGTAGCTGAGAACAAGATCAGGTATTTGACTGTTATGGGGTGATGTCAATTAGACAAATTTCTTCCTTTTCTTAAATGGATAAGGAGATTTCATGTCATAGGCTGGAACCATGGATGTGTCCCTTCCTTTATAAAGTATGTGCAGTCACTTTAATCACAGTTTATAGAAGTCCTATCATTCCATCCCTACTTCCTGTCTGTCACATATTTGCCACTGCAAATTAAAATAGTACATTTTTGGCACCACAGGATTCCTAGGTATTAAATAGTTTTTCCTCTGGAAAATTATTGAATAACATTAATGGAACTTCAGGAATTTTTTCTCACTATATAGGTATTATAAGAGACAGGATCAACAGAAGAAAAAATAAATAATAAAAATATTAGGAAGGATCTGGTAGTAAAACAGTGATTTTTAATAGAGTCTGGAGTCCTTTAAGAACAGTTTGGGTAGAATCTTTCCACCTATAATGCATAGTCATTAAACACGATAAACAGAACGGAGAGGTTTTGAGCTGTATAGTGTGCTATTTTAAGAAAAATAACAGAGTTATGCAGAACATCCAAAATTAGAATGATCAAAAAAGGCATGCCCTTCCATAACCCTCATGCTGTCCTGCTTGGGCTGTTGTTTTGGAAGTAAACCTTTCACTGGCATTCATGACCTTTAAAAAGGAAATGCACTGAGCTTTTCTTCCTCTTGTAGTCCCAGTGTCCTTATCATATGTGGAGGCCAGAGAGATGGTCTGTTCTCCTCCTGTCTCTTTGTTATCTTAAAGGGTAGCTAAGAGCCACCTTCAGCTTGGTTCTTCAATCCAGTCAACTGCATTGCATTAGTATTTAATTGCATGTACCTCAAAATTGCATGTCCTGGGCATTGCAGGTACTTCAAAAAAGAACGTGCCATGTAAAATGTGCGCACATGCTTGGAGAAGATTGTATGGGAGAGATTTCATAGAAAGTTTCCAAAACACATTAGGTTTTAATGAAAGTCTAGTTTTTCTTAAACACAGAGGAGTATTATTAGTCCCCAGGGCAGAATGGTATTCTTGACTGATCATATGAAATGTCTGCAAGGAAATAATTTAAGACACCTTCCTCTCTATCTTTGCCCTTTACCTGTGATGCCAAACTTGAATCTTCTCCTTGACTGAACAGTAAGGAAAAAAAAAACACACACACACACAAAAAAACCCAACCAACCAACCAACCAAACAAAAAACACAAACAAACAAACAAAACAAAACAAAAACACATACAAAAACAACAACAACAAAAAAACACTTTCCCTCTCTGGTCCCCAAAATGAACCCTGCATATTGCTTTTAATTATTTTGTTAATTTCCAGAAAATTTTAAAAATAAGTTGCCACAACTACAGAAAATATGAAATTCAAAACAAATTTTTATCTTAGTTCTGTGATTTTCATCAATTGAAAAACAAATTCCTATGGTAAATAGAGGAAAAAAATTCTTGAGATTAATTATTTTAAGCTGAAACATATTTTAAATGCTGATTTAACTGAATTCAATAAACTAGTATATGGAGCAGGAATGACAGCTAAGACTTAGCCAAATGTTGTCAGCAGATACTGGAACAGAGACTAGAGCTACAAAGAAGAAATTATTTTTTGCCAAAGGGGGAAAAAAAAAAAAGAGTGAGAAGAAATTCAACATAGGTTGAAATCTGAGATTCTGAACATTTCCCAAAACCACTCTGGCACTAATCCTCCATGGTAAATGATGACAAAGACTTGTTCTGGATACTAACTCAGTTCAGATTTTCATCACAAGGAAAAAGGAAACCAAGAAACCCCATCAAACCACTGTGACTCTACACCATGACGAGTGTAAGAGTAAGAATGGCCAGCCAGCAATATAGAACAAAGTTTTGTGAAAAACTACCTTATACATTAATATAACTCTATCAATCCCAGCCCACACCCCTATGATGCCAACCCCAGTCATTCTATCCAGAAAGTTTTCCCTAGAAAAAATAAACAAGTATTACTTTTTAAAAAATGGGAAAACTTGATAGAAATTATTGCTGTGTTTTGTGAGGAGTAGCAGGTAACGCTGTGGTCTGGGCAGGGGGACATTACCCAGTGAATTTTGTTACAACTTACTCTCCTAACTGTATTCAGTGCCTTCCACTGGATGCCTATTCATGTATTTTTAAGTAGCGAACAAACTAGTGAAAATCCCCACTTCAGGTCATTAGAATCCTGAGTCCTGATCATTTGCCTACGGAATCCAGTGATATCTGTGATATCCAGCTGAAGTTTAGGTGGGGTTTGCTTTCTGTGTGACATGAAAAAATCAGTTAATGTATTTGGAACCTAAGGTCATTAATTAGTATTTCTGTTTTTCTGGCAGCAGAAAGAGGAGTTGGTCAGCAGCATTCCTCTGATGTATGTGACAGCTTCTGTAGCTTCCCAACAAAATTCTGCCTACAGACATTATTCTGGAAATCTTGGTGACTTCATATTGTGAGTGCAGCACTATGCAGGAAAACTGTTTGATATAACATTCATGCTGGTGTGATTCCTTGCTGTGGTGCTGTGGAAAAAACATTTTCCTGCACATTTATAAATGGATGGGTTTCATTTCTGGTAAACTTACGAGCACACTTTTGTCATCTTGCTCTTCCAGGAGGTTTACTACAGCTTTCTGGAATTTCTATCAAAGAACAATAGTTTTGGACAAATACAGGATGATCTTCATAGCTTCATGAATCTGCACTGAGGAACTGACCCAGCACGGGTTGGTATCTACCAGATGGTTCAAACAATTTCTGGTATTCCTTAGAAGCTAACAGATGCTCTAAAAACAGGTCATCCCTTCCTTTTCCCCCTCCTGATATTGTTTTCATTACACATGTACTCTAAATAATTTCAAGAAAAAGAAGACAAGTAGAGAAACAATATGCTAACTGAAAATACTGTATGACAGACAGCCCATTTTCAAATAGTGCATTCAAATCATTTTTACCTGGAGCAGAAGCAGCAAGATGAAACACTTTGTGTTTTAGAAAGCAGCACAGAGGAATGTGAAACCTGAAACTACATTCCAGAATGTTCTCCCTGCATATCTTTAGAGTTTGGTTTAAATCCAGTGTATTGTGTGTTGGTAAGAGCACATACTCTCTCCAATTTACAAAGTCTTTAGTGACAGATCCAGCATAGAGCCCTTCACAAAACAGGTGGTCTTTCATCACTGAAAAAAGAGTCTAACAGTGACACTGCAAGCCTGAACAGGGAAGATTGAAGTATAAGTGACACTTGCACAGTCACAAACAGCAACAAACTAGTGAGGAGGAAGGCTGGAAGTCATCTTGTCCTTCACAGTCAAAACACTTGTGGCTTATCAGAGGGGCTGCTATCAGAATAGGCTGCTCCCCAAGAAGGGGCAAAGTTATATGCTTCTACCCTTGAGACTAGTTCAGCTGGTTAGAGAATGGTGCTAATAATACCAAAGTTGTGGAATTGATCCCCATATGGGACACTCACTTAAGTGTTGGACTTGAAGATCCTTGTGGATTGCTTCCAACTCAGACTATTCTGTGATTGATTAATTTTGTGATCCCAGAGCCTGCTCCTCCATTCTAGGAAGACCACCTTTCAAAATTTCTTCTTAGAGAGAAATTAGGTGATTTCTGTTCTTCATCAGGCCTCTGGACAGAGGACTGTGTTGGTAATGCCTACTTGCTCTGCATTAGTGCTCCTTCCAGAATCATCTTAGAAAAACAATTAAAACCGTACAACCCTTCTCACAGCCCTGCTTTCAATTTCAAATCAGTTCTACCTGTTGCTAATTCATTAGCAAAAGGGGATGTTATCAGTGTAGGAGACTCAGATTACCTTGTAGCTTTTTGTAAATAAATGAATTTTCAAATTCAATAACACTTGTATTTTTCAGTGTTCTCTGAATTCTAATACTGCTAATTAGCGTATGCAGATGAAAAGTTGGGTGTTTTCAGGTTTACAGTTTTTGAAGACCGGCAATGGGAAAATAGGTTTTTCCCTTAAATCAGGTGAATTCATGCACACCTGCAAAGTAGAAGGAAAAATGTGTCTATGTTTTTGCTGTCACAGTAGAAGAGAGAGGGAAGAGAAATTAAAAATAGGGTGTTTCTTTCATCCTTCTTTCAAGTAATTAATAAGTGTTTTAACATAGAAAAGCAGGAAATAAAGAATGAAAGTTTAAAAAAAGGGCAACTATTCACATAATTTCTTCCCATTACCTCCAAAGCACAGAAATATTTTCTTTTACTGTACGATTTCTTAATTTAATTACTACCAGCCGTATTAGAAGTTTTTACAGTACATTAAGCATTATTGGTTTAGAAGGAAAGTGCTGCATTCTGCTTATCAAGAGCAGAATAATGCTTGAATAAAATCATTTGTTTTACAAAAGAAAGTCAAAAAGGTATTAAGTTTAGAAGGAACTAAACCAAACAATAAGTAATATTTTTCACTGGATCATTAGTAGTTTAGAAGCCAAGCAAGAAGGACAAAAACCAAAAATCAGGTATCTAGCTTGAAGGTCAATGGGTATTTTAAATAACTGCTGAGTACTAACTTAGGCCTCTTCATTGGATAAAAATCTGAATATCAGTCATAAAATACCTCTCTATCTGCAGCAATGGAAAGCTGCTGTCTCGTTTTCAGAATATGAGCTTTTCAGCAGAAAAAGGATAATCCCAAGCAACTTATTGTTTTTTCCCAGATTTGTTTCTTTCTTTTTAAAGGCTTTGCATTGTGCCTCTATAATTCTCTCTTCTCCAAGATGACATTCATTCCTTTTCAGTTGTCTTAGAGGATGGAAAACTACAATGTGGAAAACTACTGCACTTGAGAAGAAAACTACTGCTTGGTTTTAACAGGTGGTCTATTTTTAAAAATAGGTTGGGGTATAAAATTAGTCCATCAAACAAATGAAAAATCTGTAGCAGTCTCACAGCACTTATAAGGCCTGTTTGAAGGAGCAGTTTGTTTCATTGCTGCTGAGGAACATACATTAGTGCTCGGAAGCTGTAGATCGTTTTTTGTCCACTTGTAAGATGTTACCTAACACAGCATTGCCTGACTAGTGTCCTTAAACCACAGCTATAGAAACCCCCTATTACCTTATGCAGCCTTTACTGCTTTTGTTTCTCATGGTGCTGTTCTGCTGACACGTCTAACAGAGTGAAGTGGTCCATCCAGATTAGACATATTTCTGCATTGAGTCTTTGCAACTTAAAAGAATAGAAAAAACTTAAGTGTTCTCTAGGGTAATGCATGCTCTTCTGCCTCTGTATTTTAGGCTTATCATGGGTTGCTATCATGATTCGTCCCCTTGTGCTTCTCCCATTCTAAATCCTGTATATCTATTTGTCACTACTAGAAACAGTACTTTGAAGACATGGTGCTATGTTTATCTGTGAGATGAACATCATGTCTTTCAAATCACCAGTATCTGCTCTGCAGATAGTCTTAAGGCAAGGCTCTTATTGATAAGCTTGTTTAAAAGAATCAAAACCAATCAAAAAACAAATAAACAAGCAAACAAAACCCAAAAAAACCCAACCAAAAATGAAAAAATACACCTCAACACCAAACCTTATTAAGATTCAAAGATTCAAATTAACTGCTGGTCAAAGTCTCTACATTTGAGAGGCCAAAATGTTACTAGGAATGTAAATCAGTGCTACTATTCTGCATCCAAAACTCCCATTCTCAATAGTATTCACCATTAAAGGAGCTGGCCCTAAATATAAAAAGGCAACGGACATTTACACAAAAACTTCTCTCAGTTTCTATGCTGTTTGAATTAGATGTGTTACCTTGGGATTCCCACAGGCCATAACCTGTTTCTATAACATTTGCCATTACTGGTGTGATTTTATTTTTCTATTTCTGAAAAAAAAGCAAAATTCCTCTACATTTTATTTCATTATACTTGAGAACAAAACAAATGGAAATAATAGCTTTAAATAATACTCTGTGAAAATACATACACTGAGTGACTATATTTATGCTATATACATAAATATGGCTCTTAGCAACAGAAGCAATAACACTTTAAGCAAAATAAACACAGACTGCCTCTTTTTATTTTTGGTTGTTGTGCCAACATTTTTTATAACATTGAGGTAAATAACTGAAATTTCATTTAATAAATATTTAATTTGTGCAAAAAGATGGTAGTAGATCTGTACTCAGACTATATCTTTCCATGCTTGCAAATATCTCAGCAATGTGTGATAAAGATAAGGTGTCAGCCAAAGAATCATCTTCTTGATACCTTAAGAAAGATATTAGCTCTGTTACAGATTTCTGTTATATTGAATCATGTTAGAGCTGTCCTAGCAATAAATTACACAAAGTGAAAACAAATAAACTCCAAATGACTACAAAAACTTATCATTTGAAGGAAAAGTAAAGCCAATAGGTAAAATCTAAGAATGAAGTTCAAAATTCAAGCTCTATTTTTTACTGTCAAATGACTAAGCACTTATTTAAAAAAGTTTTTTCTCTCTGCTCAGTATTGGGGACTGGGTTTTAAGATAGTATGTACTGCTTTTGGTCACCTACTATGATTTTGAACACACGTGTTCTTATTTATATATTTTTGACAATGTCTGAGAGAAAGAATTTATTATATACATCCTAAATCAATAAAACATTAATGTTTATCATCTTCAGAAACAAAATCTGTACTGAAAGGCTGCAGCCAGCTCTTACCTACATGACAAACCAGACTTCTGAACTAACCAGACCAAAACTTACAAGTGATTGCAGTCCAGAGTAACACTCTGCAGTTTGAGCAAATGCAGAGCTTATGGGGCCCTTTTTTTGTGTTTGGAAGACTCCTCTGCTTCTCACTTGAACTAAAAAGTAGTATCTCAGATGTTTAACATGTAACTGTCAAAATAGATGTCCAAATCATCTATTAAATCTGGATCATTAAATAGTCACAAAAAAATAAACCGAGATATCCCAAGCAAAAAATGTGGCAACTGGTTTTCACAGCAACGCCTGGCATACACTTTCTATTAGCTGAGCATTCTTTGTGGGTTAAGTATAACCAAATAAACCTAGCAACTGGTGCCAAACTAAATGCAGTTGCAGCATTAAGCTAAGTTCAAGAAACAAGTTATTTTAATCTCCTTTGGCAGAACCCATCAGCTGCTTCCAAAGCAAACGGAATCTACAACTTACCCAGAAATTGGGCTGAATTTGTGGTACATCATTTCTTCTTATGAAAAAACTTGCAGAAAGACTCCAGAGAGAATGGGGCAGAAAGTCCTTTCCACTAGTTGGTTCAGTGAGGGGTGGGAGCAGAAGGCTGTCCCAGAGCAGAAGCACAGCCCAGGGACCCTGGTGGGAGCAGGAGCTGGAGCAGGACAGCTGGAGCTGCCAGCCAGCTCTCTGCCCTATCTGCTCACCGTTTGTAGCCCCTCTGTCTGGGCTCTGGGCATTCTGCAGAAGACCCTGCACTTCAGAGAGATGCAGCTTGAAGAATTACTGAATCATAAGAAGAACAACTCTCCTTCTGCAAAGAAATGGACACCTGTCTCAATTCTTCCCCTACCTCTGCATTCTAGTTCCATAAACGTGTGCAGGGGGGGATTTTTCTCTTCCAATATTTGAAATATGCCATTTCATTCAATCACTCCTTTCACATGTCCGTTCTGATTGTTATGATACACTTTTGAAAAACACGAAAAATGCTATTGGTGTCTACAACAATGCAAGCAACAGATAAACAATTGAGTCCATCCTATTACTGAAGCAGGTAATCAGCCTTACTGTTGTTATGTCTACGTGACATGCACTTTTTGTTTTGTTGTTTTCCACGAGAGAACCGGGAACTGTTTTACCACATCTTAAATGTTGCTGTTTCTAGACTAATCATATACACAGATAAGTAGAGACAAAAGTGTAATCCTAAACACAATACAGTTAGAAGGAAAAAAACCAGCGGCCCTGGTAACTCTTCTCCTGATATAGCACAGGTTGGTGGATGGGAGCAGACTTCAGTAAATAAATGAAATACATTGATTTGCCTGTGACACAGCTCCTCTCTATATTTCAGCAGTGGCCCAGTGACTCTTGCTGAAACTGCACAGATAAAGTTAGTGAAGCCTGTAACAAGATTCTGGTGGGACTTATATATGCGACATTCACTGCAGATTATGTTATGTTTCCAGCCTTACTGGAAAATTCTTTCCTATCTGCATAGATTAAACGATCTAAAAACCAGACTGGAGGTATCTATAGCATAAATAGACTGCTTGTCAATACATATGATTATTATCCTTTTATCAGTTAAATCTGTCTCTGATTAATGCCTTTTCTTAATACAAAAGCATATATATTGCACTTCTAAAAAGTTAACCATAAAAGCATTTTACTTAACTTACCAATAGTTGAAGCTGGAAGGAGTGCCTTAAACTCTACCTGATCTCAAGTTCACAATATCTGTGTGTCTCTCTCTCTTTCTCCCTCCCCCTGTGCAGAGATTGCAGTAAACTTAGAAAACTAGCAGGGACAATGTTTCAAATGACTTAAGAAACAGAACAGGAACAATCATTTCGTTCTCTTTTTTTTTCAGATGAGTACAGTACCTTCAGAAAGAAGGAAGGAAGGGAGGGGAGAGGAAGTCAACAACCCTTTGCTTTCCTGCAAAAAAATAAGGAAACAGCAGATAGCAATCTCGTTTTCTCTCAAACAAAATGTTTGGAAAAATAAATACGTCCAATCCAAAAGGAATTCCTCAAGTATTATATCTGCATTATTGGCTTCATAAAACCTTCTTTACAGTTTGTTATGTGCAACTACATGAAATGAATTTCCGAAATAGTGGGTAGGAATAAGACAACCATCTCTTATGCAGAACAATTAGCCATAAGCTTGCATAGATAATGAAGGTTTTTACTCTGGAGAAAGACGGACTGTAGATGTATACACAGATCTTGTTTCCATGGTGATATATGTAAAAAAATGCCTAAACCCCCTCTTTACACTGACCACAGGAAAATAGCACATTGGATGCTGATAGAAAGCTGTGGAAAAAAAAGGGGGGGGGGAGTGAAAGGGATGAGAAAAATATTAAGACTCATAGCTTGATATTGGAGGTGCAGCAACAAGTAATTTATCTCGAAGAATGGCATTATAAAAGCCATCCTGATCTATCCAAACAAAACCAATGTGCTATGTTTTAGAACAGATTTCGTACCTTATTTTATTTCTTTCTTTCCCTATTAAACTTATTTTGACAAGCAGATACTGGCCAGCTGGCTGGAGTTATACTTGGGATAAGTTTAGTTCATTGTACTCCACTGTGGTTTTGTTTGCTTGTATCTTTTCCCCTAACTGTATCATCTGAAGGTCACTTACAGCAATTAGATGCTCCCCTTTTTTTTCCTGTTAGTTTTTTTCATTCTAACATTCTTGCCAGTAAACACCTTCACACTGTCACAAAGTCATGTTATGTTATGTTTTCAGTTAGTGTGGTAGTGCATTGAAGATGGAGCTGCTTCTCTATGACCAATTCAGGTTGAGTTCTGTGAAAGACAAAAAAAAAAAGCCTTTTCAAATGGTCTTATCATATACACTCTGCATCCAGACTTTGCCCTGGGAGTAATAACTAGTTCAATGCTACTGAAATTTAGTGGGAAGGGCAAGTTGGTATGTTATTCTTTTGTTACACAGTAATGAATATTGATAGGCTATAAACCAACATAGGAAGTAGCTCTTCAGCACCTGTGTTCCTTCATGTAATTACTGGTACTATTTCCAGAAGATATATAGCAATTATTTGGCTGGATAAGAAGCAATTATCTGGATTTTATTTTAATATTCAGAAACTGAAATCTTTGATAATGGATATCAGTATTTGACAGAGCAGTGCAGGTGCTATGAGCGATCTCTGGCCTTACTACATCACCAGGGTTTTCTAAAGTGGGCAAAAGTGTAACAGAGGCTGAATTTTAAGAGCAAAAGAATGCAATGCACTCATGTTATATATTGCAAATGAAGTCCTTAGTTCTCCTTTGGGAGTGGAGGCCCTAATCAAATAGATCTCTTGTGCTTACTGAGCACAAGGAAAGTGAAGAGGCATGGAAAGCCACCAAAGTAATGTATGGTCCTGCAGGGTCAGTCTAATAGCTCAAAACCTGTCATTTTGTTTTGAAATTGTGTTTCAAGATCTTGAAGATATTTGCAGCTTCCAGGCCTTTTAAGCTCATTTAATTTATTTATTTGGCCAGTACAACAGGTTAATGAGACCCTCAAGACTGACATTACGTAACTTTTGTTTCTCTCCATTGGGAACCCATTGCAGAAGTGTAGTTGAAAACCCGTACTGATCAAGTTAGGATCATTCTTAAGTAAGTTACTAAGGGTATGTGATATGCTTTGTAGTCCTCTATGAGGGATGTAATTGTCGCAGCAGTACTTCTTCAAAGAGTAGCTTTCCCTTTCTTGAGGACTGAAAAACTAAGCAGATGGGCACAAATATCTACGAAGCGTCTTCAGTAGGTTAAAAGACTTTGCTATTCTCATTGAAGGAGACTGTGGGAGCCCCCTGCTTCAGCAAGGACAGCAGGAGATGTGAGGTCTTCCTTCACTTAAGCCTACCTCGAGTATCATTGTCAACAGCCTTTCCACTATCCAAGAGGTCAGAACTTAATTGTCCAGCCAAGTGTGGGTAATGTAATATTGCTTCCCAGCATGCAGCCATTGAAACACTTGACCTGTTCTCAGTTTTATCAATTTCTCCCAACTGCTGCCAGAAAATCACAACCCAAGGAGGAAGAAACACTGAAACTGTGATTTTTCATGAGAGAAAAATACCTTGCAAGGTCATGCCTGTGCAATGACGTGGAGATGTGGAGAAAATAAAAAAGGTATGACCAAAATCACTGGTATCTAGAGTCATGCAAATCACATAATAAGAAATGACATCATGATATTTAGCCAAGTTTTAAGGGACAAGTTAATCTTCTTTTCAGAACACTTTTTCTGGAAGAAGTGTTTGCCTTTTTTTTTTTTTTTTTTACCTTTTCTCAATCCACTGTTACCAAAATTAAGGCACTGATATAAATTCAAACAGATACAGTGCCAACCTCAATGCAGTTTGATGAACAACATCAAATGTAAGTATTTCCTGGGTCCAGTACATAATGTCTTGTAAGGAGTGGCCACGAAAAAAAACATTCTTGTGTTCATGGTCTCAGCGTTGAGGACCAGGAAGATTCGTCTAATAGCACTCTGTATGATCACACTAGATCTTATTTCTTTTATTTTTCCTTCTTTCTTAGTTTTCTTACTGCAGTAGGGAATCTTTCCAATGACAGCAGAGATGCTGTTTTTTTCTATTTCCTTATTTTGATGCTTTTAAAATAAGAATGAAATAAAGTAGTTCAGCATGCTAAAACCAATGAGCCTCTATCCAGCATAGTAGGAGAGAACACAGACGTAAACGCATCAGCAATAGTATTCCACTTTATCCTGAGAAAATGAAACCAATGGCAAAACCCAGCAATATTTAGTGGTTTTCTTAATTGCTTTAGGGCAATAATCATATATATCTGAACTGTCTGTGAAAAAGTAAAATTAATATCTTCCTTCTGGTCTACAGTATATCTGTGGCATTTTAGCTGAGTAAAAATAATGCAATCCTCATTCAGAAATAAAAAAAACTGAAGGACACATTATTGTTTTCCATAAGTCACTCTGATCTGTGTTTTTCCTAGGTTTTTTTCTGTATTGCCTGTTTACCATAGATTGATCAGGAACAAGCTGGCAGAATACTAATGGGACCAGAGACAACCAGAGCTGAGTCGAAAGAACTCCTCTTCTGTTCTGCAGTGTGTAGAGAATAGATGTCAATATTAGGTCATGTTTGCAACTTACTGTATTGCAAGACAATAAACCTGCATACACTGATATGTATTTTGTTCAGTTTCTCAGGTTATAAAACACTGGAATATTGGTTGTTCCACAGGTTTTACATTACTGCCTGTCTTTCATGATTATGGTATGATCAGAGTATTCTCAGGAGTATGTGCTTTTACAGCCAAACTTATTATTCTTGAGTCTACTTTTTTTTTTTACTCTTGAGACAGGTAATACCTAATCATCACTTTAACAAACTATTAGCATTTGCAGACTACAACCTTTGGATCAACCACATTATTTTGGGGAGAGAAATGTGGGAATTTTTATCAAAAAGAGGAGCATTCCTGGCAATAAACACCTTATTATAAATTCAAATGGCCTCTATAACTTATCCTGGGCCAAGCTCATTTCTGGTAAATGGCATTGGCTGCAGTCTTTTAAGGACATGCTTTTCCTGTACCCTGTATGCAATCATCACAACTACCTTTACTAAAACAATACCATCAAAAGCTATTTTCAAATACGATGGTATGATTAAGAGGATGTGTTTTCATCTTTTGACATGACATTAAGTTATAAGAGCAGGATTGTGAGCCCTATGCAGGTCAGAGGTGGACAAGAACTTGGCTTTAGTCAGTATGTTTGAATTTGATGTCACATTGAAGATCTGTAACATATGGAAATGTGCCGAAGTATCCACCAAGTTTTTTGGTGGTTTCTCAAAATGGTCATTTGACAGCACTAAAGCTGCAGTTTTACATCTGCTTAGACTGGGAAATAAATCCAGCATTTGTTCTTGGCCATCTTGCTCAATTAAGTGTGTTTATGTACTCTAATGTTTGACAAAAATAGTGTAGCACCTGAAATTACTTAATACATTTACAGGTGAAGGCTGGGCATCTAGTTTTGTAAAATGCGTAACTCTTCAGAAAATATCAGGAAAAGACAGGTTTGCGTATTCTTCCTGTGCAGTGCTAACCTTGTTAGCTCTGATAATACGACTATTTCTTCTGGAAGCCTGATATTCTATTTCAAGATTAATTAGAAATTAAAATGAATTTATCTTTTTTTTTTATCTCTTTTTATCTGTCATTTTCATTTTAATTATTTAAGTCACTTAGCTAATGTAGTCTCTGTCTTATATGAAGTAAATTTCAGTATTGCTTGTTGAGATATGCTTTGTCCTTTAGTTTCTGATATTTTTTCCAAAGTATCCTGTGACTGTGCTACAGCTGAAGTACTGTGGACACTTCAAAAAGGCCCTTCCTGGGAGTAAAATAGTAGTGCACCTCTGATTTATAGCTGCTAGGCTGCAGAGACAAGAAACACCCTGGGAAATCTGTACTCCATACCCATGTGAATGTTGATAAATTGTGTCAATAATGCTTTTATAAATTCTCAGAGAGGGGAAGGTGGAGGGAGAGAGGAAGAGATAGAGAACGAGAAAAAAGGAAAGGAAGGAGGGAAGGCAGGAAGGAAGGAAGAAAGGAAGTAGGACATAAGGAAGGAAGGAGGAAAGGAGGGAGGCAGGGAGGAGGGAAGATTCCTTCTAGTTGGAGAGTATTTTTTTATTTTTGATTTGGGTTTGGATTTTTATGGAATTTCGGATATTTTTTGTACCTCGATGCCTAGGAAATACTAGGCAGAACAAACACTGTACTCCCGCAGTCCTCATTCATTTGCTGCTCACATTGACTGCTGTAAGACTTCCCCATAACTGGAGATAATTATATTAGGTCCCATACTTACTAAAGACTACAGACAATAGTAAGACAATGTAAACTGGTTGACTGCATGTGACAGAGCATGTGGATTGACACATGAACTCACAGGAGTTCAAAGCCGTTATCAATAAATAAAAAGTGAGTGTTAAGATATCTATCCAAGAATAATTAGGGGAAAAGAAAAGCAGATCTATTAGGTTTGTTATATTTCCTCTCTTTTTCAAAAAATTTAAATGGATTTTGGTTTTGGACCTGTACTTTTTTATTTTAACAAAACAGATTTGCTGAGATTGCTATTGTTTTGCAAAAAAGCATCTGGTTATAATTTAAAACACAGGGAAAAAAAATCTACAGAAAAAACTTCAGACTACAGTAGAAGTCTTGCCAGTGAGATGTCTTCAACTGTACATTCACCTTTGGCTAATCAGGGCTGCTCTCTTCAGTTCCTGCACCAAAAAGCATACCCTGATACAACTCTGCTGGTGATTATTCTGTATAAGCATACAGCCAGAGTATACCTTCTGGGAAGTTTTTACTCAGTCAGCTGTGTTGCAGAGTTCCTGAATATTTCTGGAGAATCTTCTCTGTGTGTGCCTGTGTGTGAGTGAGTGGGTGACAACAAGAGCAATTTTGTGGGGCTTGTTAGCTTGTTATGTTACACAGTGCAGTAAATCACGTTCACAAGCAGTGAGCATGAAAAAGGGAGGAGAGGTTGGACTTGGACAGCCATCCCGTACGCAGAGGTTATATCCACACAGTACACGATCAAGTGACTCCAAATCAGAGGGTTAACATACAATCATAACATAAGGAGTGTCTGTCTTCTCTGTTCCTTAATAACTTTAACACCACAGTTCAAGCTGTGGGAGTGAATCAGCACTTTAGAGGTCATACTATGAGTAATTGTCAATGGGGTAAAACTGGTAGTGACATAATTATTGTGCTCAGCTGCAATATTGCTTTTGTTCATTTTGCACATTGAAGTTATAGAATGGATTAAGATTTCTCTAATACATGTCAAGATGGTTCCAGCCTGTCCTACATAAATGTGAAGATGATCCTAATCTCTTACATCAGCAGGAATCCTGTGAAATCCACCAAGTTATTGTAGATTTACTAAGAGGTTTGGATTTACTTTTCTGCTCAAACATTGCAAAAATTTTCATCACTTGTTTTTCTTGTAGTCATTGTTTTTCTTTACATTTTAAGAAAATAAAATTGCAGGTATTAAAAATGTATTTTATACTGCAGAAATAACATAGTAATAAATCCAGGTTTTCTTTGGCTCCTGAAGTATTTACTTCTAATGGAAAATTGTTAAATCATTTAAGAAATGTTTCCTGTTTATTCTTTTGTCTTTAAGTATAAGGTGAACAAAATTTTAAACTTAAACTGCTAAAACATAAAGAGCTAAAATTTGTTCCATCCCTCTAATCATCCTAGTGGACCTCCTCAGGACTCACTCCAATAGTCTGATGTACTGATGTCCCTCCTGTGCTGGGGACCCCAAAGCTGGAGACAGCACTCCAGGTAGGACCTCATAAGGCTGGAGTAGAGGGGCAGAACCCCTTCCCTCAACCTGTTGGCCATGTTGCTCTTGATGCAGCCCAGGATACAATTGGCTTTCTGAGCTGCAAACACACATTGATGGGTCACATCCAACTTCTCATTCCCCAGCACTGCCAAGTCCTTACTGTTAGGCTGCTCTTGATCATCATGCTGTTCATCTCTCAGTCTGGATTGATACCAGAGGTTGCCCCAGGTGTTACAATCCAGCTGCAGCACCTCACACTTGGTCTTATTGAACCTTGTGAGATTCCCATGGGCCCACTTCTCAGGTTTGTCCAGGTCTCTCTGGATGGCACCTCCACCTTCCAGTATGTCAGCTGCTCCCCTCAGCTTGGTGTCAGCTGCAAATTTGCTGAGGGTGCACTTGATCCCCTTCTCTAATGAAGACATTAAATAACACTCACCCCAGTATGGACCCTGAGGG